GGGGGGGAGGGGTAGTGGTGGGATTTGCTTGGTAACTCATACAAGAATCTGTCCTCCCCCTCTCCATTATTGTATTTAAAAAATGGTCCTTTCCTTGTTTTCTATTCAGGTTTTTGTTTGCGTGAGAACCCCCTCCTCAAGCCTGATTTTTCAGATCTCTCCCCCAAAGAATCCCGCTGCACCCTCCACACTAGAGAGTTAATGGTTCCTTATGGGCTAATATTGGTTTATTCCAAAAAGCATTGATAGTGTTTCTTTCTAAATCAAAGTGTTTTTTGTTTTGTTTCTGAGATTGTCCATGGATTGCTATTCCCACTTTCTCTCTTAGTTGCCTTGTCCTGGAGTAGATTTCATTTAATTTTGCTGATTTAAGCAGGAACAACATAAGCTGAGTACCAGTCTCGTTCAAACAAAGCTTTGAGTTTTTTACGAATACTTGAATCCCCTTTAGACTGGTCTTGTATGACGTAGCCAATACCTCCGGTATAAAGGAAGTAATCTGCTGCCCAGTTAGATGTACCTACATATGCTGTGGTTTCCGTCACCATAAATTTGTCATGGTTGACACGAGCATAAGGTATATGAGCCTGAGCCTCACTGTACGTTGGTACCTTGAAAAATTGCTATTAGAAATAAATAAATAAATAAACAGGTATTAAAGAGAGTAAAAATGACAGGTGATGTACAGTTAGCTGGTACTACTGCATCAGTATGGTTTGAGTCAGAAGCAGTAATGTTAAATGAAATGCTAACAAGTATTTATACTTACTGGCTAGTGTAGCTGGGGCATGGGAAGATGGCATGGAAAAAGCCACATAATACATTAATCCTTAAGACCTAACCTTATAAGACAACATAAAGTATCATAGATCTATACTTACTGTTTCAACAACAGCTTTGTTTGAGCCATTGATAGCTGAAAGAGACTTCAAGAAGTTCTTGAGGTCTGGTCTGGTGTGTTTCCATAGACCAGCAAGTAGTCTTACATGGACACCACGGTCAAAGGCTGCTTTACGGAGAGCATCATCAATTATTGGCCAATACCTAAAATGGTTGGTTAATATTAAGAACATATTAATATTATCCCTGTCAAGCTAGACTTGACATTACTCAGGTGTCAATTCATGAAAAACCATCAGTTTTTGCTTGGTAATTATATGAAAAACGTTTAAAATATGCATGCGCTAATACTAAACATACTTTTTTTACTGATGCTCAAGATAACCCAAAACATGCACTTACATTCTATGGTACTCATAGAGAGTTGTTGGAAAGTAATCCATAACTTCAATGTATATATACTCATTTGCACTGTTAATGACATTCAAAATAGCATCAATGTCCGCAGATCTTCCAGATGGGCAAAGTTTGGCTGGAGATGAAGCCAAATATATACCAGTAGCGTATGTGGTATTGATGGTGATGTTTGCAGGGGTATCTACGAGATAATAGATAATAAAACATTCATTATTTTCTGTGCTGAAGTCCAACTGATAAAAACCAGGTTTTTCGAGGGAAAGTTATTGTACCTAAATTTATATTTGTACTATAAGCTTTGGGCCAAGGCTTGGGTATTTTTGAATCTGGAAGGGACAGCATCCAGTAAGCTTCAAATATCTTAGAGATATCATTCCCCAAACAGGAACAGTTGTATGTCATGAAGCCAAGTTCCTTCACCTGGTAAACAAAACATATACATATACTTTATTAATACCAAGAAGACACAGGTAGACCAAGCATAAGGTGGTGAAAACTTCCTCATCAAACTTGCCTGGGTTAAAGATCGCCAATCAAGGTTAGCACTTCCTAGATAGAAGTGCTTGCCATCTACAAGCCACATTTTGGTGTGTAGAATACCACTGCCGACAAGCCTCGTGAGATTCAGACTACGTACTTCAGCCAAACCCATTTGCATCAAGTCTTTTGTATCTTGGTTTTTGTCTGGTTCAGCAGCTGATTGAACAATTCTTATCTTTACTCCTGAAATAACCAAAAATGCTTATTTTACAAATTAGTATTCAAACAGCTTCATTCTCTCATTGAGAAAGATTAAAAACTGAAATTCTGACACAAAAGAATTCAGAACAAGACAGTGATGTTTTATAGAATGGTGGCATTCAGTGTAGATGTAAATGTCACTCATTTGTAAGTTGGAATATTGAAACAACACTGAGTCTACTACAAGCTTAGTAATATGCTCCTGTGGCAGGAATGTCGGCAGAGTAATGTATCCCAAGCTAGTGTCCATCAAATTACAGTAAATATATGGAGTTTGTAATTTATTTTTACAAACTCCATATATTTACTATAATTCAATCACCACTACAATTGAGCTTGGATACCTTTGGGGGGAGGCTGATAAAAAACTTGCATTAGATATTTTACAACTATAACCACTAAATTCCATATATTTATGTTCTTACAACACTCACATATTGATTTTTATGAAGGGAGGATACCAGAGAAAACCCTTGTGGCAAGGGAGAGAACAAAACATCAAACAAACTCAACACACATGATCCAGCCTGATTGAATGTGGACCACAGTATGTGCCGCGTGCAAGTGGTAAATCACTAACGTCACCCTCTAATCTCTGTTTTTCTTCAAAACAGAACTCAAACTAAGACAAAATAGTATGCCATTCTTGTTAAAAGTTGGGGTGGTGCTAAGCCCCTGCCCCCTTCCTGGCTCAGCTGTCCCTGTGTGGCATGGAAATAGCATTACCCAGATTTTGAACTACCTCTTTTAGCTGTTGCAACAAGTTCATTGAAAATATGTTCTCCCCATGCTGTAGAAGGGTCGTCAGTTTGTGTGTCTTTTCCTCTTAAGGTCCAGTAAGATGAAGCTATATTCAAAGAATGCTCAGCTGATTTGAGGAGGTTTAACCATCCACTGTAAACACTGGGGTGAATAACCTCTGAGTGTGGGTAAGTTAAATTCTCTGGAATACTTTCCACGATTGAAATTGTACAAGAATCTTTGCAAGACTTTGAAATAGGCCCTTTGAATACCCCTCCGTGAGAAGGCTGGGTCAGGGCTAGGTAGGAGTGTAGTGCAACTACGGTAATGATCAAACAAGCAAGGAAGAACAAAAATGCAAAGATGGAATAACGTGAGCTTTTCTTGAAATCTTTCTGGAGAAATTTTGTGTCAACTGGAGTTTTCATGCTTGTGTATTCTCCTAATAACCTGCCCCATCCACTGTAATAGTATACTTGTCGTTTTTCACTAGCCATTCTTATCCTTTGTTCGTATCTCACATGCCTGTACGAGTTCCTTTCCACAAGGCGTTCTATGGGAACTGTTAATGGGAACTTGGACGAAGGTCACTTGCCCAGCCCTCCCCTGCCCTAAGGAAGTGAGTTGTTAGATCCCAGTAAAATCCAAGATGGCGGTCGCACGAAAATTTATTGATAAAAAATTACTTCACAATGTCATACGAAACACTGATGCTCATAATAAGGTAAATCAATATATCTAATCTAGTATCCATTATCAACTAACAAACCTTGCTTTTATTGTCTATAGCTCTTAAATAAACAATATTCGCGGATGATAATAAATGTATATTAAAAGCTCAACTAAAAACTAGACTTTTGCAATAGTTGTACCTTATCAAATACTACCTACCGTACTCAAGTAAGTCTTATAAACATGACTTTTTCGAGTTTGCACCGGCTTTTGACGATGTGTTACGCAATAGATTATATTGTATATTGCAAGTGAAGTGTGTATATGCGTGTAAATATTTAAGTGATTGTGCTTACAAGGAATTTTAAGCTTATATATATTAAGTGCCTCTGTAGCTAAAACAATACCCATCCATTTTTTTATTATTAAGTAGTGCTTTGTAAATAAGGAAGAATGGGGTTTTCCGTTTTTTTATATTTTTTTGTTCCACAAATATTTAAAAAAATCGAATATGCAAATTAGACAACTGATGATGTCATTTGTTGTTAAAGTGTATGTCAAGGAAAAAAATTATTTTCGAACTCACTTATATGTATTAGTATGATGCAGTATTTTTAGATGTAATCACTTTTCAGTTACAAACATTTGAAACATAGATATGCAAATGAGATGACGTTAATTTCAGAATATGCTTACATTTTGCAGTGTAATTTATGACAAGTGTTCTGAGAAGTGAAATAATCTAAAAGTGTACAAAACCATATGTTTCAGGATGATTTGCAAATTTTAAAAAATGGCAGTACTTCACACAATAGCATTTTTGTATAATAAATTAGTCTTGAATTTATGCCATCACATTTTGATATTTTGAATATTTGTATCTCTGAAAAGAAAATTCCAAATGCAAAAATGCTGCAACCATACTACTACACTGTTCTGATATAAGTGATTTCGAAAATGAATTTTTTCCCTTGATATACACTTTAAGGGAAAATAACTCTTCAATTATAAAGCAGATTCCAATGAAACTTAGCACATTTATAGTCACAGCGATAGTACCCACCATCATCAGTAATAAAAGGCATTGCTATGGTAAGGGGTTTGATTCCAGTTCTCCCACTTATAAAAATCAAGACCACTCAAGTGTCTTGATATGTGATACCCCCTAACCACTTTCTCAAAATAACATAACCCCCCTACAATTTTGATGCCCCCTCTCCCCCTCCTTACTTCTCTTTTATGAGGTGTACTGGAAACCTTTAACAATACCAAATGCGAGGTGCCAAAATATCTAGAAGACATAATCCAATGTCTCGTACTTACACCATTGGCTTCSACGCCTTAAAAGAGAGTCGCTCCCAAAAAGACCTGGGGATTATTACTCAGGGCCGTAACCAGGGGGGAGCACAGGGTGCACGTGCACCCCCCATAAAACCTTAAGGTTCGCTCATGCATCTCCTTTTTTTTTGGTTCTGCTTTTTTTTGGTTGTGCAAATCATTGCCTGCAGGGTTCATGCCTGTGCACCTCCCTGCAAGATCCCTACTTACGCCAATGAAATGGTAATAAAAACCGATTAATGGTCCGATTTTATTCGATGTGCACCCTCCCTGTAAAAGTTCTGGTTGCGGCCCTGTTACTTCACATGACTTAGGCTGGCATAACCACGTAGTTTACAATAATAATAATAATAATAATAATAATAATAATGGTTTAATCAATAGAATCCACGAGGTGGCTCTTCTCCTATTGATAAAACTATCTAATTTACAATAACATACACACAAGATAAATTTACGATAAACTATGAAGCTATAAAATAAATTAGACATAATAAGAAATAAGATTGACATAATTACTATTGGATTATTCTAAGCTAGACAATTATTATAAATAAAAAGGACAAAAACTGAAGATACTGGGGCTACGCCCACCGCCCCCAAACAACCACCCCAGGTCGAGACATTCGGGGCAACAGACAAAGAGAAAACTGTCCCAAATGCCACGACCCAATAATTGCCCAGGGTACAGCAGCGCAGCACCAATATCCATCAATCAGGTGAAAGATAAATTAATTAATAAAAATCAAGTAATGTCATATCGCTTCTTTAGCTCTGCTTTCACTTTAGAACAAAGTGAACTATAGCTAGAAATGTCTTTTATATTATTTGGCAAATTATTGAACAGTTCTGAGGCGATATCTTGAAAAGTTCCCTTTTCCAAAGGTCTGACCAAATTCAAGGTGGAACTTTGACGTAAAGTTCTTGATGTTTTACGAACTTCCAGTGCAACGTAGTTAGGCCAGTGCTCTGAGTTAATGGCTTTATAGATGACTTTCAGCAAGTTATAATCTCTTTACGTTGTTGCTAAATGCAATAAGGTTCTGGGTTTCCTTAGACGCAATAGTCCTTATTCTGTACGGGTTTCTCTCAGACTTCAGCTTTATATTACGCTTGTGCGTTCAATCCTTTTTAATGGCAGTCAGGTTTGGGCACCGCAATCAAGCTCGCAGGATATCCTACTCCTCGAACGTGTCCAGCGCCGCGCCACAAAATGTATTCTCAAGTACCAATCAGATCTATCTTACAAAGGCAGGCTTGTCAAACTCAACCTAATCCCACTGTCTTACTGGTTTGAGTATTTAGATCTATATTTTTTCAAGTGTCGCCTTAAGGTGGCTTGATTGGATAATTTCGGCGCGCTACCTTTCAACTTCGAAGCGCAATTACGCGGACGCAAACAAATCATTAGAAAATAAAACTTTCCCAGGTTTAAAGAGAAGGATAGAATTTTCGAATTAACAAGTTTTCACGAAAATCACATTTAACTCTCAGCCGCTAGTCAGCGTTGGTGGTTTTGCTATACTGCTCTTTTTCTCCATTTTTTGACCAAAGTTTTAAAATCGCGCTTTATATAGTGGAGTAAATATGATTTGCTCAAAGTTCAGAAAATTCGAAGGAAATTTATATGGGCGTTTACGAGATATTTGACGTTAAGGTGACTGCCTACTTTTGGAAATTGATTTAAGCTTTTTTTAAAACTTCGATTTTCCGAATTGAAATTTAATGCTGATTCCAAATCTGGAAAGAAAAATAGGGTGTCCCGAGCTCGTTTTCGAGATAATCAGCATTTAATGGAAGCCTACGCACGAGCTTTTGGAGTAAAAATTGCGCCACCGGAAGTGATTAGAAAAAAATTAAGATTCATAAGATAATAGTTATTTGCAGACTCTATGATTGCACGAACGAAGGCTAGTCAATCCTTCTACAATAATACATGGATATTTTCGACAAAAAGACAGAGAAATACATTGATTTGTCATATTTTGTAGTTTCGGTGCTCTTAAAAAATCTCATAAAGTCGAACAAAAAACCCTACAAAAATCTATTTTTTCACGTGTTCCTGATTTAAAATTTTCCTAAAATGTTGATATAACCTAGATTTTTATGAGTTTTTTCGAATGAGCTATCAAAAAATATAGAGTCCCGTGCAAAATTTGAGGGTTTTGCCCTGTTGAAGCTCAAAACGCGTATGGTTCTTCAATAAAATCTTGTAGATTTTTCAGCGGTTTTTGAGCGCGCGCACATCGTGGGCTCAAATCGAACGTTCAAAAGTAGGCAGCCACCTTAAAGCTTTTAGACATAATAATCTTGCAAATTAAAAGCCGAAAAACCATACCCTATAGGGCGGCACATACCCATATACATAGGTTACAAAAATGTTTTGTTTTTGCAAGATTATTATGTCTAAAAGATTTTTTTTTTCTACAATTATGTTTGATTTTTTTTCCTGGTCTGCTGTCTGCAGTCTGCGTGTTTCGCACTCCGTCGCACACCTTCAAAAATGCAAATGAATGAGCTGATTTAGCTCACAAAGTGAGGTATTTTTGTTTTAAGATTGAAGAAGAAAAGATCATGTGGAGAGTTCATCGAGCGAAAAGTAAGCGTGGCTATTCCACCAGGCACAACGACGCAAGGTACACTCGCTTTTCTTTGTCATTCATGGAGTCCCTGCTGATTGAAAACTCCAATGAATATGTTATTAGTAACAGGTCTTTGTCTGAATATAAACATTGAATTTGTAATGAGGAATTCTTTGCCTCCTTACAAACTCAATGTACCAAATAAACAGATTACGCGACCTTTAGGCTTTCTGTCTCATTGCCTCAACTCAAGGTATTTAACTCTCACAAGAGTTATACTATTAAAAATCACAAGATTAGCTAGGTAATCGAAAGCACCAAGTATTCTTGTGAGTGTGTTTTGTTAATTGCCAATGGTATATTATTGAATACCCCCACTTGTTAATAGTTTTACCGGCCTCAATCAGGCCACGTGTTGTTGGGTGAAGGTGCCACTTTGACTTGTGTGTCATCATTTTAATATAATCAGGAAAAAAAATTGTCCTTTGTGCATTCTTGGATTTCAAGATGAGTCAGCCAAATTATCATGGTTACTTACTTAGTGTTAACAATTGTGACTTGTTTTGTATTTATTTTGTTGAACAGAAAAAGTTCGCCAAGAAAGAATGCATGCTCAGAGAGAACTAACGGTACATACTGGATGAAAGAGTTAACGAGTTATGAAAGTTCTTTGTCTGATAGGTAAGACAACCAAACAGGTTGACAAGCTTTGGAAAAAGCATCATTGTTCAAAGTTATGGTGTTTGTGTGTTTGAAGGTGGGGACATAATGGATACAAAGAACTTTATCCTGAAGAATTTGAAGATAAAGAAAAAGACAGCCATAGTGATGAAGAGAAGAGGAGACGAAGAAAAAGAAAAAAAGAGAAAAAGTAAAAGTCAAAAATATTACTCGGTACATATTCTTATATAGTTTGTACCCCAGGATTTTTGTAAAGCAAATGCTAGAACCACGAATCCCTGACTTTAGCCCCGGAGACTGTTTTAAGTTTTCGTTCCTCAAATATCCTTCGCAGGGGCGGATCCAGGAATGGGTTAAGGGTTTGTCCCAAATGAAGAGTGTATATAGATATATTATGCATCGTAAATGTTTCTTTTAAGAGCCTTCACACGAGTCATTCTTCAAAAAAGTGTAAGAGTAATTACGGCATGAGAGGGGTGTCCGGAGCAGTACACTCCCCTGGATCCACCCCTGCTTCACATTAATTCCTCCCCTCGTGAATCATTAAAGCGAGTTGTTTGTACTTGGCTTTGCTCCGCCTAAAATGATAACGTTTTTGTTGTTGTTGTTGTTAATTACTGCTGTAGGCAAATGTTCTTTGATGTTTTCTCGTGTAATAGTCATAACGTTATTTGTCTTGTTTTCTTTAAAGGGATAGAAAAAACAAAGCTAGAGACAGCAAAAAGAAATCAAGAACCCCAGATAAAATCCACAGGAAAAGAACATCTAGAAAAGACTCTGAAAGCTTTAATCACAAAGCATCCAAGAGAACAAAGAAATCACAAGTTAGTGCGCCGTCAAAGAAACTATCGGCCCATAAAATAAAGAAAGAGGGTGTAAAACGACGAAAAACGAAACATGAATGACTATTGTAGTAAATATTTGGAATACTAAATAATTCGTTATTTATGTTTGTTGACATTTGAATTGATATTTTAAAACAAAACAAACATCTTTTCATTAACGATATCTCGGATATCATGCAATAAAATAAACGTCATGTCTGTACTTTTTTACATTTCTGCTCGACTTTTTGTCAGACTACATACATGTAATTTACGATTCTTTAAGCCCTTTGTCGTACTAGTCACGTAGGATGTTTAAAGGAAATCAATAAATGCTGCTAGACCGAGCGCATGCAGCAAAACTATGAAATAAAAACCATTTGTGTCTCGTGTAAAGAATGTTCTGGATGAGTGATAGAAACTATTAGTCACTAAATAGCTACTATTCGTCATGTCAGCATCAACTTTGTTTTTACTGCATGCGCTATAATATAGTTTATGTTTAAAAGCATGTTCATTATCATCTTTTAGCAATCTGTGACAATTGCTAGTGTTCTATTGTTTTACATGTTTCACGTATCGGGATCGTATTACACGCAGTTTTTTGTTACTACGCAAATAATTTGTTAGAACTTGCTGAAAACCAGGTACCCGGCAAACGTGGAAACAACTTATCGAACAATTTAGCGCGTCCCCAGGGCCGTTGGACTTTCAACCGTGAAATACGACGCAATAAGGGCGTACACCACCCGTTGGTTACCTAACTAATAATGATACTAAAGTGCTTTTATTTGGCTTCTAGAATTGATATAAATATTAACAGTTCAAAAATAATCAAGTTTTCGAGAATAAAAAATATTGGAAAATAGAGCACTACGTAGGTTTTCAATTCTCAGGAGATTGTAGCTGCGTTTACACGGTAACGGACGAATTTTTAACCGCTCAAAAAGTTGTCTCGTTGCGGACTGAGCTATCCGAACAACAATTCGTACCCCTAACAGTGCAAATTTGGATCCGGTTACGTGAAAACAGGAAGTCATGATTTTTTTTATACGATTAAAGAGACGGTTCCGTGTAAACGGTTATTGTACAGGTCAAATTTTTGTTCGGTTAAAATGCGTCCAGTACCGTGTAAACCGGCAGCCTGAAATTGTTTTTTTTGTTCTCCAAAATGAGCCGCTTTGACCTCACATAAGCTGTCCAAAAAAGCGTCAGATTATGACTGATGGGGAATTTTGACCTTTTGCTTTATAAAACCTTGCTTTTGCTTAGATACTTTCAAACTTAGGGTTTTGTCGGATTTTTATTTCCAAAGACTAGAGGGAAGAGGGCGGAGAGAGGTGTGGAAATTCCTAGATCTCGTGGTATTCACGCGGCCATTAATCTCGAGCTTCGCCGTATTCAATAAGCAACCGACTGCATCTAGATTTAAACTATTGTCTCATTGTTCTTTACTGCACTTGTAATGATATTTGCATGTGTTTGAAGCACTTCTAACTGAACTAGCCGATGATGTTGACGAGATGACAATGAAACTAAAGTGTCTTGTTTCGTTAGTTTCCAACTCTTTGATTACAATAAGTGTCATTATTTTCATAGATCCTGGCAGGCATGAGTGGATCCCTCTGGCTCATCTTTAATGGACTTCTAATAAACTCGTTGTCTTCAACACTCTCAATATCTAGATTTTTAGGGTACGAAATACCACACTTACACGAGCAGCAGGTAGGGGGACTCGCGATTACTGTTCGGAATACGCCGGGGATTACCTGCCCCCACGTAACGGGGGCCCCCTCGGGAATTATTCGAGCCAACTCTACGGACTTTTAGGCAAATATCCGATTTGTCCACTTTACCCGTACCCAACCCGTAGGCAGATATTTTGTTTAAAATATTTGTTGGATATACGATGCATGAATGTAAAGAGTTTGTAAATGGTTTCTGCGTTGGGTGTTTAACTGCGAGGGTGTGCATACCCAAGCCCAAAGGTTTCTGGTGTTGTGGTAAGAAAATGCAAATAGAAGACGACACCTCCGCACAGTGTTACGAGTGTGGTAAGAATATTCGTAATGCCGTACCAAGTGCCACCAGAGAGCAATATTATGCCAACGGAGGTCGTAAAAAAAACCCCATACAAAAGAATAAAATACTTTAGGGACTGGATGAGTCATATCCAAGGTTATCGACCGGTATATTTAGACAACAAGGTAAAGAAGAAAATCGTAGACCACTTAGAAGAGCCAACCCCGCAAAGTCTAAGGAAAACGTTGAAAAGACTAAAATTAGGGAAATATTACAAAGCTATTCCCTATCTTTTGTCTGAAATTACCGGTAAGTCTATTCCTGAGGTTTCTGATATGAGCAGAGCCGAGTGGATGTTTTGTCGGCTGGATAAGGATATTCCTTATTACCCTGACGTAATTTACGAAATATTTTACAAAATAGACCCCGACCACCCCCTGTTAGGATGGATTCCCAGGCGATGATTTTACACAAGTTTTTTCACATCTGTGTAATATTTTGTGAAAACGATGCAGGCTGTGTAATGTTTTGTGAAAACGATGCAGGCTGTGTAATATTTTGTGAAACTAATTTACGTATGAACCAGACAGCCGGCGTTCAATATGTAAGCAAAATCCTGTCTTGCTTTTTTCGAAGCAGATGTTTACTGAGCAAGCTTTCTTTGAAGCTCTTCTTTCGCTTCTTGGTAGATCTTTTTGCGAGATTCCTCGGAAAGATCTTTTATGACTGTTTTTTTATTCCTTATGTCCGACTTTAATTTCTCGTACTTTTCCTCTTCGGCTAAGATAAGCGAGAATTCAACGTCGTCTATCTTTCTGTCACGCAAAGCCTTTGAGACAAGATCGGTAAT